TTCTGAAAGGTACTTACCTATAATCATTGCTAAAAATTTTTTTTGCCTAGCATACCATTCTTTTTTACCCCATCAATTTTGCACCCTTTCAGAACATGTGCTGATCATGTAACTACCCTCCACCAATCCTAATGTGCCATCTATACTAGCATAGCTAGCTCAAATTACTGTTCTAGCACAATCCTCACTTTCAAGAACTGGCATGTACAAACCAAAAACACCAGCAAATCAGTATGGAGAAAGGGTGAGTAGTGGATGAGTGGAGAGAAGTGCCTATCGGAAACACATTTTCAGTATAAAAAAATTTTAACTTCCAAATTGGTCTTTCCTCTTCTCACCCCAAAGCTAGAATCTCACATTGCAAAGATGGAGAGGCCCGGTGAAGCCGCAACAAAATAAAATAAAGCAGAAAGCGACCACACTGAAAGAACAGGTGTGCAAGAGTATGAATAGAAGGCACACCTGTGTGATATAGCACTACTTCTGGAACAGGTATGCTCTTCACTCAGTAAAGAACACACTAACACAAAGAGGGAGGAACGGAATAGGCTAGCACCTATTTGCGTTTGTGAAAGAGACGTACAGCACAAAATCAGTATGGAAGTGCTGTAGAACATGACCTGAAGCACCATGATGTAAACAAACTTGAAAAATCTAACGTGGAAGCGACAATGGCTCGTACATGTGAGTGCCATGGGTAAGTCCTCGGGTTACATTGGATTGTGACAAATGTGGTCCATCCAGGCAAAACATCCAGCGGAAACAACTTGTATAAGATATTGTGATCAACAAGTGTGGTCCACCCAGGCAAAAACCTCCAGGGGAAGTGCCTTGGATATGTAGGAGTGTTATGAGGAAAAAAATAATATATATACAGGTATGAGTGTGATCAGGAGGTCTGTCATAACCTGTCTGTTGTCAACTCACATGGCATACTTATACCACTTATGTCGCAAGCTGTAGTACCAAACAAAGTGATACTGAAATATATAAAGGTGCCAACTTGGCTAGGGCTAAAGGACTGTGAAGTGTATATGAATAGGCCAAATGCAGTCCACCCAGGCAGAAAACATCCAGGGAAAGCACCTTCAAACACGACAGATTATGCTAAATGTGGTCCAAATGGGCAAAAACATCCAGTGGAAGCATCTTACATAACTATGCAAGATCAACAATTGCAGTCGACCCAGGCAGAAAACATGCAGAAGAAATGCCTTGGATATAAAAGATTATGGCAAAGTATGTTTCGCCTGGACAAAACTATGCAGGAGAAACACCCTGCATAAGAAGTATATGATCAAGAAGTGTGGTCTGCTCGAACAACACCCAGGGGGAAGCAAATTAAATATATACGAGTAGGCGAAGTGCAGTCCACCCAGGCAAAAAACAACCAGGGGAAGTGCCTTGGGCTATGATGGATTATGTCAAGTGCGGTCCATCTAGTGGAAGCACCTAGCAGAAATATTTCATGATCAAGAACTGCAGTCAGCCTAGTAAAAACATCCAGACGAACTGCTTTGGATCTTGATTATCATGTTATAGTATAATCATTGTTCAATATTGTAATGATAATAATGACAATAGCCCTCTTCATGCTGAGTGGATACATCTGATATATAAATATGATTCTTGTTTATTATACAAAACCCACTCAGGAGGAAACCTCCGCGATCCACCACTCCAGTGACTGGGAACCAGAAGTGGCAAGAAATCCCGTACTTCACTAGAAAAGGGGGGGTGTACACATTGGGGAGTCCGGAGGAATGATACACTGGAGACAGTGCAATGGGTGTCTGCAAGTTCCTAGTTTCAAAAGCAGAAAGACCCCAATTGTAAGAATCACAGGTCAATAGGGTTGGGAAAAATTATGATGGGTCTCCAAACTCCTGTATTTCAAGAGACAAAAATTGAGATGGGAGTAAAGCCCCGGTGGAGTGGGCACCACCTGATCGATAGCTCCTTTGTGTAGTAGGTCTTGAATAAACTAGTCAAGGTGACTTGTAGAGATATGATCCCAAGAAGGAGATATGGGAAGTGAGTAGGGGTGGAAGTGAAGGCAGAAACCCTGAGATAGAACCTGTAGAACTCACGGAACTGTCATGAAGTGTAGGTAAAAAAAAAACCAACACTAAACATGCATAGCGAAAGCACTCATTACAATAAAACCTAGAAATTTGAAGAGTCTACAAAGGACATAAAAATAATGAACCTGTAAAACTATGAAATTGGACTTCAAAAATAAAACAATAAGCAACACCTAAAGTATAAAAACCACTAAAAAACAACTTAGAAGGGAAAAGACAAGCAAATATCAAACTTAAGTCCACTAAAAGAGCCGAGGAGACAAAGGAAACAAAAGTAAAATCTACTCTGAAGGACATGAGAATAAAAAGGCAACCAGTGAACAATAACAAGATCTTTATTTTTTGTGAACTCAAATCTACCACCAATTAGATGTGACTGGTAGTAAAGATAAAAAGGAACTTAAAACTTACATAAACAGTGAAAAGAAGTATAAGTAACAAACCAACACACCTACATAAGTGGCTGAAGTTACAATTACCCAAACAGTAATGATCATGTAAAACCCAAACGTATACTAAAAATTAAACAAAAATAAAGTAAAAAATCAAACACTAAACAAAAGTAACTGAGATGGTAAAAGTATAAAAATATAACTTATCAAATACTGTGCAAAGAAGATATGAAAGACCAAAATTATAGTGTGAGGAAAGTAGGCCAATCCCCACAAGCTAATATAAACTTGCTTAACATGGGTATATCTACTGGGAGTGAGGAATACATACTGAAAAACTTACCAGAGATCTCCTGGGAAGAAGAACAATACAAACTTAAATTCTGTTAAAAACAAAACTCCCACTTAAGGCTGCCGTCAGATTTTAAAAATCTGTTCTATATATGTATATGGGTTCTGTTGGTTTTTTGCCAATTGTCGAAATAAATGGCTTTTACTTATATTTCTTTATAGTATAAATATATACTATGTTGTTGTTGGGTTTAGGATTCTTCTACAGTACATATCTGTGACTTGTTAGCAATAAAGTCAACAATGAATAAACAGCACACTTTACTTGTTTTCAAATAATATATATATTCGGAACAAGTTAAACGTACGTACAATAAAGTATTCACACAATAGAGAATATAAACATATCATAAACGTTATATATCAGTATATGTATAGTTCTCCTCTTCTTGTCAAAAGTCCACTTAGGCCTGTTCAATAACTTTAAAATCTCAGTTGATAAGCTGAACTATTTTCTCTAATACTATCGCAATATTAGTCTGGTGTGATTCACTTACGATTGTGG